CAAAACTTTCTATAATTTTTTGACTTTAATAAAAATATCATTATTGACAGTATGCCATTAGAGTCTAATAATTTATTTATAGCATACTAGTACATGTTATAACTCGCTTAGTTGGTATCATCAATACTTAATACAAAGAAACTTTTGTTATACACCTATTAATTATCTACCATATTTTAAAAAAGTATGATGATGTTTTTTTTTTCTTGGTATGTATAAGAAAAAAATTTTTTCCAACGTAATGATGAATAATCTAAATCATAATTTGAAGTAGTGATTTACAAAAATTTTTTTCGTACTGAGAACACTGTTCTAATACTATTCCGTTGACGGATGGCAATCATTAAATTAGAACTAACACATATTTATATTAGAATTAACACACATTCATTTATATATTTATGTGTTAGTTATAATTTAATGATTGCTATCCGTTAACGGGATAGTATTAGACAAAAACAACTTTTGTACACCGCTACTTCCAATTATGACTCGGGTTACTTCTTCATTAAGTTGAAAAATAATTTTTTCTTATACAGTCGTATAATTTTAGTATTCTCCAAGTCACTTAGCGATCTCTTCCAGTCACATATCCTTGGCCATCATAGAATCCGTACAGCAAAAACTGCTTCTACAACTAATTTGTAAAAATAGAAGTTAAAAATTTAATTTAAAAAAAATTTCTTACAAAGTAACTACTGTTATTGTGCAACTCTTAAAAACAGGTATGTTTGAGCGGTCGATTTTTTTAAAATTGGAAAGTATGTCGATATCAAAGTACACAAACAGTCATAAGCTAGCAATAAACATGTAATTTTGTAACAGCTGTAACCAAAATCTCAATTTTCATTTCACAGTACTTTAATGACTTTTTACTTTAATAAAAGATTCAGTTGATCATTTGTCATACAGGAAGATATATTTTACGAACAGAATGAGTAATCACCCTCATAAGTTACTTGCTGACAGTTACTTCCCGACACATTTTGTAGAAAATGCTTGAAAGATGAATTCATCTAAAGTTTAAGGTCCAAATAAGCTCTTGTTGTGAAAATAATGTCTCAATATTCAACCAAAATGTTGTACACTTTTTATTTTGATCAAAATATTATTATTGAAAGTGTGCTATTAGAATATAATAATTAATTTAATTAATAAATATTATTGTATTAAATTTTATTTTCGCCATGAAGAACTTTATCAAATAAAAATAATTCATGGAATGTGTAAACGCTTCAGTCTACGTATACAAGCATATTAAGTGCTAACAGGTGTTATTGGCATTACTTATTTCTCGCATGATTTGAAATGCCTGAGTTTATTTTTTTAACCACTAGCTGGGGCTTATGCTCACTACACTACTAGGATGGTCGTCTAAATGCGTTGTCTTAAAACATTTTTTTTAGAGTTTATAAATATAGAACTGTAATCACTGCTAATTTCAACCCTTTATGTTGTTAAATGAAGCGTCAGGAATATTTGTAAAAAAAAAAAATTATTTCAGCTTCTACGAGTCGTACAACAAACTTTTTTTTCTAACTTAGCTAATAATTGCACCTATTGGATGAAAAAAGACCTGAATCGATATCATCAAAATTTTTTATAAAATTGAATTTTTTAACTGAGCGCTCTTTTGTAATGTATTTTGCGGGTGCCCAAGTTGCTTAAATTGATTCGCTGTATAAGAAAGATTGAAACTACAAATCTTAAAGAATAAAATAAGCCTAAGCAAGTTCCGCTGTGACAGTTAAAAAAAGTTATTCAATTTCTAAAAAAGTGCTTTTTTAACAAATAAATGTATTTTTTCGAAAAGTAAAAATTTTCGAAGTGCGAAAAAAAACACTAATATTTTGCTATAAAATCAACATTCAGTGGAATGTACGACTCGCTGGGGCTCTATTTTTTAAGTAAGTAATTCATTAAAAAACCGTGTTTTTTGCAGTTTTTGCCATTTATGTAAACATTTAAACGATCGATTCAAATTTGACGGGGCTTGTTTGGTATGTGTTTTTAATACCTACAACTTATTTCATTGGAGTATTGCTAATTAATGTTTGATAAAGTAATATAACTAAAAAACAGAGAATGAATGGTTTTTTTTTTTAACTTGATTGCCCAATTATACAGTAAGGCATCACTTTTCAGCTATTAAAAAGTTGGTACAAGAAAAGTACATATTACAAGGTAAAAAGTAGGAAGGCCAAACTGGTTTTCCTATTTTTTTATACAAAAATCCCTTAATGACTATTCTAAGGTATATCCTTTCTTAAATTTCGTTGTTACTAATAGTTCGTTATTGCGAGTGTTTACAAACCTAGTTAATAAATTTTTTTTACGAATATACCGGATTCTAATAAATAACTGAGTACGATATTATTGTTTGTTCCATGTCACGCCGACTTGATGTTGTATTTACTTAAAGAATGAAGAGTCATATGCAGATAGCGCGATTGTTAAAAAAATTCTACTGGTAGGATAGAATCAGCAGAAAAGCATGGTCATTTAAAAGAAATTGCTTCTAACTCAAAAAAATCTGGGTGGTTGTTAAGCGGTTTCAGAAAAAATCTAAATAGTTGTGGACTTTGAACTGTGTAAGCTAACGTCAAAAAAAAAAATAATAATAACCATGGCCAAAAATAGTTTTTCACATCTAGAAAAAACTAGAGACTCAGACAAAAAGTTATATCAGTAAAAAAGATGCACAGTTTCAAGACGAAGATAATAAGCTTCGGTGGGATAAAATCGTTCCAGCCGTTTTTTCGCTATTTGCAAAATTGATAACTCGCGTTTCTTTTAACATTAAGACTTGACAATTAAATACAAGTTGGATCTTGTGTTCCTTAACATGCACACCAAATTTTCAAAAAAATCGATTGTACACTTTTTGCAAACCGCTGCTAGAAGCAAAAAATGGTCTCTCCACAAAAAAGCTTGACGTGGCTGGTTTTTTAATATATCGCCATTTTTCAAACGGCATGGTACTCGTCGAGAGTTACTTTACAATCTACTAAAACGTCGCTCCGTTTAGTATGATGGAATTAGCTTTTTAGATCGGGAAATTAATATTAGCATGAAAAAATTATGGTCGCTAGTTTTTTGTGTTAATAACAAATTGTATTACTTCAAACAGCTAAAAAGTTCAGCAAAGGCCCCAAAAAAGTGGTAAAAGTTGCTAAACAGGATTTTTTGCCTAGACAAAAAAGTAAGAATCGTACAAAAAAAGGTTAAATACAAAAAAGTTCCACAATTCCAAGACAAAAAGAATAAACCGCGTTGAGCTCTAATTGGTTAAGCCGTTTCTTCAAAATTGCTAAAAACTGTCTTTTTGGCCATTTTTGAAAATTCAGTAACTATTAGTATTTAGAGTTAAAATTGTGTTAGAAACAATGTAGGTATTAGTGCCTTTATCATACAAACCAAGTTTCAGCAGGATCGGTTGTAAACTATTTGAGAACCACTTAGAAAACTAAAAAAAAGTCCTTTCGTAAAATGACCATAAAAAAGTTTTGGTGCAACGTAGCTTTATTTTTTAAAATCGCTCTTGTTGGCCAAGAGTTCATCTATAAGATCTCCAAATTCTGCTTTATTTAATCACGAGCAAGTATGTTTAACATTGGTAAAAAAAGCGGTCTTTCGCACTCAGCGCACTTGGCTGGGTAGTGGGATGGCGGCGGCTCACCCGACTGAGCCACTTAGGTATACTACCGCGTATTTCTATCCCACTATACCAAATCTAACATCATAACCTTTATTTTGATAACCCTTTGAAAAAAGCATACTAAATAGGGAAGCATACTGCGAGGAGTAATGTAACGAGAAGCGTCCGTACAGCTAATGGCAAACTATAAAAATGAAAACTTGGTAACAAGATAGGTGAAGCAGGTTATAAGCTTATAAGCAAACAATGCTGATCGTAGCTTTGCCTGTAAAATTCCATAGAAAATAGATTTAAGGTTGGCAGTTATACACCTATTATAATGTTTGATTTAAATTTTTTAATATTTTGCGTGCCTAATTTATCTTGCCAGAAAAGTCTCACTATACTATAATATAAACAATGATTTGTTGTATTCTATCTCAGACTTTTACAGAAACATTAATTTATTGTTAAGAGTAATGAATTAACTGGTTAGTAATTTATACGAAAATTGAAAATTAAAAAACGTATAAGTTACGCAATACAATAGCGTAATTATCAAAGTGCTTTTCACCATCATCGAAATTTTAGTTCAAATTGTGGGACATTTGATATTTAATGAAAACTCTTGCTTATAGATTTAAAATAAACTTTATTATGGTATAAACGTAATATACGACGTCTGCACTTGACAATGTATGTGTGAGGGCATCGCAGACAAAACTATTTTTTTCCAAGTAAGAGCTTTTAAGTTCAAAATTAAGATTGGGATAGGGTATGGAACTACGATTTTTACTATAGTTTCTTAATTATCTTATTAAGGAGTTGAGGTATGAGCTTCAAAGTTTTTTCCAAGAAAGCTAAGCACTTTTAACATAACTTCGTGTAATGGAAATATTTAGTTTAAGTTTTTTATAGTGACATGAGCTCTTGACATGAAGTGAGCCACTTACAGCAGAATTAGCCATATACATCATTATTTAAGAAAATTCAGCTACATAAGATAAGTACACAACTGTAAGAATATTTTGCATTCATTTTTGGTATACAATAAACGTTTTATTTTAATGTACAACTGATTCTGTGTACTTTAAGATATTAATCAAATAATTAGTTTTTGACTCTTGGATTGCAAAATAATGGCTTTGAAAAGCCATTATAAACTAAAATTTGTCGCGCCACAAAAGACATTTTTTAAATTTAAACACCTTTCAGCAAATGAAACTCTTCTAACTAATTTTTTATCATTTCGTAGTGCACAACATCACTAAGTTATTCTCTTTACTATTTGTATTAAAGCCTGAAAAGGTCGACGCTCCACTTTGCCTCAAAAGATTAAGTAAAAATTATTCAATAAATGAATATGGCTTATAATTATTTAATTGAATTCAGTTTTGCTGGTAAAGTTAGTAAAGCACACTGGTCTTAAGTATATTATACGGTATATAATTTCATCAGAGTTTAATGGTACATTACGTCACTAGGGCACAAACTACAAACATAAGTGCCCGAAGGGCACGGTTGTTGTATGTTGGTGCCCGAGTCGCATGTAATGTTTTTGTTGCTAATGGCGCAATGTGTAATTTTGTGCCTGTGGGCACACTTTGCGCCCGGTAAATCTCTGTGAGCCCTACGGCAGAAAAGTACTTTGGGCCTTAAAGTGTTTGGGTACTTAAAATGATTACGAGGGCGCAAAGTGGCAGTTGCACTTTGTGCCCATGGTAAGACATCGTAGTTTTCGTTGGATAAGTGCCGTCGTCTGCGGGGCTATTTTGCTGCACGAGGGACCTGCGAAACACGGCCCAAGGAACGTAAGGTAGCCAAAGAGTGATGGCGTCTATGTGGCAAATCCTATTTTTCCTACCGATAGTACTCTAGCCTCTCAAAAACGCACGAGGTAGTAGTAATAGTTCTCAAATTTATTTCAATAGAGTTTTTCTTCACGTGAAAAATTATTTAATAAAACAACATAAAGTCAAAATTATGTTTTCCATAATAGTTCAATTGCTACTGTAACTTTTACAAATTAGTTACTAAAGCATTTTATACTGTATGTATTGCAAAGTGATGTGATAAAATCAAATTTGTTTTAATATCATGAAAAATGATTCTTATGATAGTCGATAATATAGGTATTACATAAATTATTATCGTTACATATTAAATACTATTTTTTTATAACTATTACATAATAATGTACTGCACGTAAAGATTAATACATTAATACTGTGTAAGTTAACCATTCTTATAAATCTATATGAACATACACTGTATGTATGGTTGCCAGTATCAAAATAGGTTTTCACTTGGCTCTACAAGTGCGTTCACTGAAAATCTCAGCCAACACAGTCTCTTCCTTCAAATCTTTAGTGAACACTCAAAGTTCACTCGGCTAATCAAGTGACGTCACGTTGTATCATGAGTGGAAAATATTCTTTTTAAGAGCAACAATTTTTTTGTAAACCACATTATAAACTTAACTGAAAGAAGGCCCGCTTATAATCATTAACTTTTATTTTCGAAAAAGTTATATTTTCATAAAATTTGACTTTCGACATAAATAAAATTTCAGGGAAGTTTGGTGAGTTAAACTAACTTTTTTGTAAAAACTTCTGAAGCATTGAGACACTGAAAATGAATTGTATTTCTTAAAAAAAAAAGTTGCTAGGTTGTGAAATGAATGTTTAGAAAAAGTCTTTTTTTTTAACATCATAAATTTTGCATGATACTTACAGTATTATGATACCTATTATTCGTGCGTGAACAAAATCAAACAGAGCAATATTTTTTCTGACTGGTGCTATTTTTAAATCTCAAATCAAATACAGTCAATTCATGTTAACTTTACAGGTATACTGGGATGTTAGGGCTCTAATAAAATATATTTGATGTTAGCCTTACATACAGTAGCAATAATAATAAAAACTACCTAATTCGATTTTGTTTATTCCTAAGTACTGATAGCACGACATAACGAGTACCGTACAAAATGTATGCTGTACCGAAAATACTTAATCCTTGCAAGATGTTGATTTATCATCTTTAAACTTTACTTGAACATCAACTTTAAAGACGTGGGCCTAAGAAGACATGAACGATATAAGCATGGACTAGGTACCCCAGGCTGATCATCGTAAGGAGATATGACTGGAGCAATTCAAAAATCATAGATGGAAAAACTAATTTTTATAAGTAAATAGTTTTCAAAATTATACTTACACGAATATACGAATATGTACATTTATTTAATAGGTCTTATTTTTCACTATCTCGAGAGGACTAGCATTTTTGGACCTCATTTACTCAAATTTGATAATTCGCTGCCCTTATTTAAATTACTTTTAAGCGTTTTTTTTTTTTTAATTTAAATCCGTACAAGCTGGCCGTGCTGTTATCAGTTCATCGATCTTTGACTATCAGAACTTACTCAGTGTTAATACCTAAGTGAGCGATATTTTTACGAAATGAGTTCTTTTATTTCAAGTAAAAGTTTACTTTTTCTGTATTATAAATATACGAAATCGTGCGTTATAAAGTTTTCTACTCCACACTTGGTAAAAAAAAATCAATTTTATCATGAGTAATTTATTACTGTAAAAATCATAATATAAGCAAAATAATTATTTCCAAGATTTTCTGAATTCAAATGTTTTCAGTGTTTTCAAACTCTTTGTATCATTTTTCGAGATTAACTCATTTTTACATGTAAGATTTGAAAGCCCATAAAAATAGAATCTTCGTGCAGTAGTTGGTATAATGATTTACTTCGAAGAAATAAAGTAACTGTGTTATGTTTAAAAATAACTTTAAATATTATTGATTTTGTTAGTAACAAGGAATAAAAAATTAATTATTCGTGTAGTTTTAATTTTCAAATTATTTCGTCTACAAAAATTTTAAATCTAGGTTCACGACGCAACTTTATCGCAAGATATGAGACAAGCAGCTTTTAGGGCATTTGCATCATTAGGAGCTAATGATGAAGATATACGGAAAAGAATTATTGAAACTGAAAATTTGATGGAATTAATAGTTTCGGGTCTTCAGGATCCAGCTGGATCAAAAGTTAGATTGGCAGCTGTACGATGTCTTCATTCATTATCTAGAAGTGTTCAACAATTAAGGACAACATTTCAAGATCACGCTGTATGGAGACCACTAATGCAACTACTTCATGGTGCAGATACTGGATTAGATGGTAAGTATTCTCTATAACATATTTTATTGAATTTATAGATTATCGTTATATGATTATTCATTAACTTTGTCATACATACATCATACGTCTACTTGCATATTGTAACTATATATTGAACTGAAGCTGCTCCTAGAATCATCTAAATTAAAAAAAAAAAATCGATTTTTCATACATGTAAAGCGCATGATGTTATTAATATATAAAGCAAAGTCATTAAAACCGTTGTAATAGCTAACTACGAAAACTTCTCCACCGATCTTGCTGAAATTTTGCATACTGGTTCTTGACACTTCCGAGGTGGTTTTAGTATAGTTTTTATCTCGAAAAATTTAATAACAATAGTAATAAATAAGCTCAAAGTTTTGTAAAAATAGAATAGCTTTTCACTTCAGGTCAGTACAGTCCGCTAGGTGGTGCAGAAGTCAGAGCAAAGTTAAGTGCAATAGAATTCAGAAAGTCTGGTTACTATATTTCCGAGCAAAGTACCAAATACCACAGTTGATAATCGGCAGTGCATGAAGCATAGAGCTAGGAGTCGTGCTGCTGGGTATCCTGGTTACCAAATACACTGTTCTCTGTGATAAACAAGCGATTTACGTTGAACTACATCCCAAACCACCAAGATTGACGAGTACCATCAATAAAACGGTGTTTAAAATGCTAACGTCTCCGGTGAAATACTAGGAGATGTGTCTAGCCAGAGCACAATCTGCTTTTGCATTTTGGAGGTTTCATGACCACTCTTTCAACCATCCTGGGGCTATCAAAACATATTTTGCTACAACAGCAAGTCAGAGAAAACAACCCTGAGAAGTTCGGGCAGTCACAACGGCCTCCATCTCGGAGGTCGTCTCAACAGCATACCTATAGAGAAGGTATTCTCCAGGCTAACTTTCCCGACTAACGATGAGTGGTTGGTTATCTAGAGAACGATCCGAAAACGACTCTAAGTATTCAACCAGAATTCACCGATCCTCTTCGAGGTCTGCGCTGGGCGAACCTAACAACCATAAAGAAAAAATAACTGCAGCAAACGGGACAGTCTCCAATAGACAAGCATCACGAACCAATCTCTTCACCTTAGATTACCAAAACTACTGAGCCTCGCAAAAAAAAGGTGCTTTGGACAACACTAGAAAACGTTGGGAAAAAGCTCTACAACGAGCTCCAACGCTTCAAACGTTATAGTTGTTCTCCCGATCAGTCTGGTGCTACCATAACAGGCCCGAAAAGATCACCCTAAGGAATAGAGGCAGTCACATTTGCTGGAAACTTCAGTCAAGAAAGAGTCTTCTTGAAAATCTCACTGGTCCTTTTTAGGGCCATCAGACGTCGAAGTACCTTGCCAACAAATATATTAAACTTAACAAAGTTGACAAAAACAGCCTTTCGGACTCACACAAGTCTCACAGCTTTTCGGTCTTAACCAAGAGGGTGAATTGAGAGGAAAACCTTAAATGTATCTAATGTATACAATTTTAGGTGTTAAGAAACTAATGCAGAACATTAATCGAGATTGAAGCAGCAGCAATTGAATCGACAAATAAAATATGTATTAATCAATAAAAATGTAGAATATACGGGAGAAACGGCAAATCAACGGCCCTTTAGGGCCATTATTTTATGGTATAAGAAACACACGGTACTTTTCAGCATTCTCTAACTTCATCAGTATTTTCTAACACAGCGTTGTGAACTGTTTGGAAAGCTTTTGTTGTAGATGGTTTTGAAGCTGTAACTAACCAATTTTTTCTCGTTTACAGAAGTTATCGCATAGGTCAAACTGTACAACTGTAAGACACTAATTTAATGAATTTAATCCAGTGTCATAAGGCTAAACAGAAAGGTATCCATATAATTATATTAGCTGCTTAAAACAGAAATGGATAGGATTAGGAATAGAAAAGACCACCTTTATCGTTACGTACTATAATTAGTATCGCGCCAGTGCCTATAATATATATTCCATTTTTTTTATTTCTTTTTTTCTCTTTTGAAATACAGTTATCATAAAAGATTCTTAGATAATTTACTCGTGATTTGTTTATTTTATTTATTTTTTTTATTTACATTAAAAAAAATTTTGAATCACGACTAATTGGAATTTACTCATCAGAGTACTGATTTAATGAGAAATGTTAAGACATTGATATGAAGTTTACTTCTACAGAAAATTATTTTTACTATTTTATAACTTAAAAATTTTAAATCTTTTTTTTGCATGAAAACTCCTTTCACTCATGTAACGAACTTTTTTTCTAGAATTTTTTTATAATCTGAATTACGTAAATTTAATAAAATAATCTTCATCAACGTTTTCTCAAGTTTAATTTTATAACTGCAACTTTAAAAGTTTTTCTACATGCTTTTTTAAACCTTTATTTAGCATTTATCTTTTCTCTGGGAATAAATTAAAACAAAAGTTTAAAGTACAAAGTTACTTAAGTATTAGTGTCAATAAAATTTATATTTGTACGACAATTCACATTATTCAGTACAGTACACGTTACTTAAGTTCAGAAAAAGGTACTATTATAATCAATCTAAAGTAACAAAAAATACGTTGATAAGTAAAACTTATTTATTTGTCTGTATTTTGATTTTCTTTGTTTTTTTTTTTTTTTTAGAAAACAGCTGTTTTATCATATATTATGATTCGTAATTAATGAAAATTTTTATCAGTTTCTCTTTTAGAGAGTATCACAAGATGCAGTTTGCTTAGGAAACCAACAACTACCTAAAAAATGATGAAAAAAGGAGGGTGTACAATGTGCAAATAATAGCATTTTGTTTGTCAGACTACAGCCTTCTATATAATGCTACATTACGTTACTAGGGCACAAAGTACAAATATGAGCGCCTTCAAGATTATTGCATTTTGGTGCCAGAGTCACGTCTATTATTTTTCTTACCGAGGGCGCAAAGTATAATTTTATGCTGGTAGGCAGAGTTTGTGCCCAGTAAATCACTTTGGGCCTTAGAGCAGAAAAGTAGTTTAGGCCTAGAGGGCACAGAAAAGTATTTTGCTCGTATGTATAAAGTGATTACGAGGATGCCAAGTGGTAGTAGCACTTTGAGCCTATGGTAAGATAGGTAATTAATCCCATTTTTTGCAAAGTACATTATTATGTGGTGAGCGTTAAAATTTCTCATAATTAAACTTATAATATGTTTGTAGATTAATAAAGATGTTAATAATGTTTTTATTAACCTAGTCAAATATGTTTCGAAAATAAAAATATTAGAAAATAGTAAAAAAAATCTATTTGAAAAAGAAAATTAGTATTAAAATATTTTTATGATAAATTTACCGCTTGAGAATGTAAATAAAATTATTTTAAGTAATAGCCTTAAGCTATATTGGTTACAGTGTAAAACTTTTACATAAAATTTACTGCACGATAATTAACTAAATTAAAAAATTAATATGCAAGGTGTCGATGAAACTGATGGTAACATGTACATTCATTTCCAACCAAAGCATTACACAGAATAGGCAAATATCTACCACCTTACAAAGTAAATTTAAAATTCAGATTTATAGTGATAATAATACCACGATTAATTGAAATTTGCGATTTTTTATTAAAATCCGACAACAAAAAAAAAATAAAGGTAAATATAATATTGAAGTAAAAATTAATACTGAAACAACGATTTCTCATTAAACGTTAATACCTATAACAAACTTTATTACCCAGTACATATTTTTATAATGTTTTATTCAATACCAAAAAGAGTTTTTTTTATTGTAAGCAATCATAATGAGTTTTAATAAGGGCTCAACATCAAAGAATTGATAATAATATTACATACTTAAAAAATCTTTTGTTTTCCTATGGTCCGTTATCCCAATTTTCGTCTACATATAGATGCTCAATGTGTAAGTACGTGAAAACAAATATATTCAATCATATTTTTATATTTATGGAATAACTCTATGCAAAAGTGGTAAGGGGCTGTCTAGAACTGTACAGTAACGTCAATCACTACAAAGTTGGTTACAAGTCAAAAATTATCTATTAAGGTATTTTCTTGTTGAATTGGACGCAGCAATACTCTACGCATGATATAATAAATATATGAACAAAAGTAAAACTGTGTGTTACTTGCTCTGATGTCAGTAATGTCCTTTTCTTTAATGACAGTTATAAAATAAGATTTATAAGAAAAATTTATTAAAGTGGGAATTAAAGTTTCAAAACGAAACTTATTTGAAGCAGCAAAAGTATATAAGACTCCTGTAGACGACTAAAATATAGTATTGCATATGAATAAAAAGATTTATTTAACAAATTATATTATTAAATTATAAGAATTTCAAAATTCTGGATAGCAAACGAAAAGTTTAATGAAATACTTAAACTGCGCTGTAAAATTTTTTCACCAAATCTTTCTCTGGATGATGTACAAAGTGCAAAATTCAAAATGCTGAAAGGATTATTTGCCTTTAGATTTAAATTCATGTTCAAAAAAAATTTCCAGTTCAATAATACAAGCAAAAAAAAACAAACAAAACACTTTTTTAAATGCTTTTTTAAACTGGAACCTGAAAATGATAAATTTGCTTTTATGAGATGTGGTAAATAATTAACACGATAAGCGCCTATCACCAGGTGACCCAGAAAGTTTACTGGCCTCTTTGTAAATTTAACAAATTAAAATTAAAAACAACACAATTGCTCATAACAACATGACCTGGGACTCTGACTGGACACTTTGTAATTAAATAAATAAAAATTAATATTACAAGGGCCTATCACCAGATAGCCCGTGGCGCTAACTATTCACTTTGTAAATTCAATAAATAATAATTAACAATACAAGATCTTATTTCCAGATAACCAGGCGTGCTCACTAGCCACTTTGTAAATAAATAAAACGTTAATTTATAACACAACTGCCTATCGCCAGATGATCCAGGGCTCATACTGGTCAGTGTATAAATTAAATAAATAACAATTAACAGCACAAGCACCCATCACCAAATGACCCGGGAC